ACCTCTATTAACCTGAAAATGTCTTTCTTTTGTTTTTCATCAGGTGCCTTCAGTTTGACATCATTAGGAATCTTTTTTATTTGTTTCTACTTCCTGGCATGTTGGACATATGGAGCAAGTGTTCCTAGTGGTCTGTTTGTTCCTTGCTTACTATGTGGTGCAGCTTATGGCAGGTTTATTGGTGAGCTCTGCAGGTAAAAACAACCCTTCTCTGGAACTCATCTTGACTATCATCTCCTTTCTGATCAATAATTGTACCCACTAATGCATAAAAGAGGTGACACCATAAAGGGTGGCATTACCATTTGGGTGGTTGCGTATAAAATGAGCTGTTTTTAAACCAAGGTGAGCTCATATATTGTGGGGAACTCAGTGGCTTGCTAACTGTAAGCTTGTTAGACTCTGGGTGGGGAGGGCGAGGCTGGGACCAGAAGAACAGACCTGGCTGGGGCAACATTTTGTGTACCAACATACTGCCATGAAACCCTAACAAATTGTTGGGAGGGGAAACCCTTTTTTAGTACCAAAATATAATTCCTTTATAAACACCCATCCAAACCTTAAAAGCCACTTTGACAAGATGCTCATGAACCTTTAGTAAGAATAGTTATAACTTAATTGATTTTTCTGGATATTTAATTTATGTACTTAAATGTATTTGACCATTTTTATTTTATTATTGAGCCAGGCTACTGGGATATGAGCACACTTACCATGGCACGTTTGCTCTGGTTGGAGCAGCATCTTTTTTAGGCGGAGTGGTGCGCATGACCATCAGCTTAACTGTCATCCTGATAGAGTCAACCAATGAGATCAGTTATGGCCTGCCTATAATGATTACACTCATGGTACTATATGAATTATTTTCCCTTCTTATGTATTATATTGTATTGTACTGTATTTACGAATATTTATACAGGGTAGCCCAGTTTAGCAAATAGCTAGTTTAAATGGGGCCCTGTGAAACAGTAACACCCACCCATCTTACCCCAGGGGAGGACATCCATCACACAGTAATTACTCCCATGTGTGGGAAATTAACATCTTCTACCCCTAACCCTGCAGGAGATGGGACCTCCATTTCTTCATCCCTATCCGAGAAGACTAGAATATCTATCCATTTCTTGATAGAAAGGTAGCAAATTCTCCTCAGTTATTTTTAGTATTATTTTCTATCAATTCTTACCTTCATTAGGGCAAAAAATAACCTTTTATTTGGTTGAGTGTCAATGCATTCAGCACCTCTAGTGTGCTTGTTGGGGACACTGTAATTAACAATTATCAACAAGTTGTTACTGAGGATTTAATCTTGGATTCCTCCATATAATTTGTTTCAAGCACAACACTCACCTCAAGGCCTGGTTTTTTGAAAGGCAGTTATGGAATGGATGATTCAGATAATCCAGGATTAGCTGCATCTTGTGGGCACACAACATTTTGACCACTGTGATGACAAATATTGTTGTTGATAAAGAGTAGAGACAATGCTAAACCACTGTTCATTTTTTGTTTTTTAGCACAATATTAGAAGTGAAACAATTTTATTCTTTCGATGGATGACACATTGTGTGACACATTA